TCCTTTTCTGTCGCCGATTTCTATTCTGATAGCGAGTGCTTTCTCTTGATACTCTCGGGCCTTGTCATATTTACCAAGCGATTGGAACAATGTTCCCAGGTTTCCGTAGCTTGTTGCTTGTCCTTCTCTGTCGCCGATTTCTATTCTGAGAGCGAGTGCCTTTTCTTGATATTCTCTGGCCTTGTCGTATTTACCAAGTACTTGGAGCAATATTCCTAGGTTTCCATAACTTACCGCCTCGCCTTGTGCATGATTATTTGTTTTCATAATGGTCATTGCTGACTCATAAAATCTTGCGGCCTCCGCGAACTTATTATGATCGTAGAGTATCTTTGCTAGTCTTAACTGTAGCCATCCTTTTCCTAGAGTATTATCTGATTCATGAAATAAGAGTAGTTGTTCTCGGACGTATTTTTCAGTATTTGTGTAGTCAAATAATTTGGAGTACGCCTTTGTTGCAGTGGTAAAGATATCTTGGTAAAGTAATTTAGCCATTGGACTGTCCTGTCTAAATCCTCGATTGTGTAGGTAAATGAAACATTCGTGGCACATTTCGATGGCTTTTAAAACACGGCCAGTGATGAGAAGAAAAATTGCAACAGCTATACCTATCCTGATAGCTAATGTGGTTGTAGCGTCCTCTTCTGTGTTTTCCATCATAACCTTGTTCGCTGTTGGTGTCAGAATTAAAGGAAATCAAACATAATACATCCGAGAGGAGCGACTCAGACAACTCTTACGCAGTGGCGGTTTTACAGTGTAAAATTTTGTGCGCAACAGGAAAGTACTTGGGTTAATACTAGGAGGGGTTGGGAAGGCTCACAAAGAGGCGAATACTGACAGAAATTTGACGTAAATTTAAGTTTCCGCCGCCTCGATCGTGTAAGATATATTTGCTTCGATTAAATGAAAATGCCTTCCAGTGTATTTCCACTAATTCATGGCTTTTACCATTTGAGATTGAAAACATGAAAAATCTATTTTAAAATGTGACTTCTATTCCCGTTGACTGATGAACTAAAATAAGTATGTTTACTTTGGAAAACGGGGAGATTGGCCTCATATTTTATATAAAATCATGATTTCAGTTCACGGCGGCAGCTATGGATGAAAATAGATGAGACTGAGAAGAAAGAAACCTTATTGGTTGGTTGGGGTTCCATATGATCTTATCTTAAGTTTATGTATCGTATACATTGTTCCTCGCTTTTCAGTTAACTTTCTAGCCAAAAACTATGGCAATTCTACATAATTTATAACTCATTTGAAGAGGCGGTATCTTGTCAGAACAGTTCTCTTTTTTTAAAGGTTAAGGAGGATTTCACAGCCCCTTGGAGAATTATGTCGACACAACCAACTAATTATAGAGTAGAACTCCTGACACTCAGAAAAAGCAAAATGGCGCTTCCGCGAAAGTGAAAGGTTTTTAGCCAACTTTCACTCCGTGAGCCTCTGTTGGCATGCACTTTTTAGATAGTCAGGTAGGTATAAAACTACTAAATATAACGTTGAGGGCCGGGCAAACCACGAACCCTCATTACACTCTCAGAGCTATTTTTTCATCGGGGGATTTAAAAATTTCCGGTTTTCTTTTTCTGAACGTTTCATGATAAGGAATTGACTCTTTCATTTCCGAAAGCCAGTGGAATCAAACTCGAGTGTCAACAATCAAAGTGACACTATGGTGAAATCACCGATAAACTAAGCAAAATACAATTAAAACATACAGTGATTTTTCTGAAATTAAAGCCAACGATCCTGTGGTTCCAGGATACAGAATAACGTTGGCATCCCAAAAAAGTCCTCCTCAAAGCTTTCTCGATAATCCTAAGGCCGTGTTAACGCCACGAATTTGCATGTCAAACCTCTTCCTAACCCTTTTTCATTGTATAAATATTATATCGAAAGGAATCGAAATTGCTCAATAGGAGCGTTTCAGGGACACAGGAAAAAATATTGACGACACTGCTAAGACAGAGGCAGCGAGCGTTTTGAAAAGTGCGGGGGGGGGGAAAGGGGAGGCATACGCATACCCCTACTCAAATTTTCCAAAATGCCCGTTGCGTTGTCCGCTGGCACAAGCAAACCAATCTGTAATCTTTACTGTTTCGACTGTGACCGTAATCGACTTTTGACCTACTTTCATTTTTCCCAGTCCAGTCTAAATCTTTCAGCAAAGCATTTGATTGGGTTCCCTCAGACAAAATTAACTCAGCTAATTTCCTAGACGTGCTGTCTGGTCTAATGGGGAACTGCCGGCAGCTGATAAGCTTCTTGGGCACAGGCTGGAGCTATTCAAAAAAAGTTTTATGACAGATTATTTTGCCAAGCACGATGCTGATGAAAGAATTTATAAAAAGATCACAAGATTAAATATCTTGCCAAATTCTATGCCGCGCTAAGTATATTTTTGGCAGCAAAGCGTGGGGAGCGGGGCGCTGAGCCTCCCTCCAAAAAAATTTTAGTTGGGGCGGGGAGCACTGCAGCCCTCCGGCCCCCTACTCCGCCGCTATGTGACAGCAGTCACAATCAGCAATATAAAA